AATAATAATAATAATCATAATAAAGATAATAATAATTTAGAATATGATAATAATGATAATGATAAAATAATGATACTGATAATGATACAAAAACAATCATAGTAAATTTTCAATTGTTATTGCCCTCTGTTTTGTATTGCACGGGTCAATTAAAATGAAGCGAGACAAAAGTCCATAAATATTTTTTCAATACAAACAAACCATGACGAAACACATTAATACAAATGCAGTTAGCACGCATTTTTCGACAGCTGGGGCAGTTAATTGGAGGCCCGACACATATTTACAACTGAACTCATGATAACTAGAACATAAAGAGAGTAGAAAACGTTTTAATTAAGAACATGAAAGAACATTTCACAGTTGAAGGCCCTAGGTAATAACAAATAAAAAGGGTGTTCTGAGCTTACAAACTTCATGAGAGTACACATTTTAACTTCTTACGTTTTCCTAGACAGGTTTTGAGATAATTAGGAGGTGGGTCTGTTGAGGTGAAAGAGGACTGTGTGGGATACTGTATTCTTGAAGAATCGTATCGACTTTCGATGAAATATATTTTTCAACACTGGAATTGAACTCCCGTGTCTTTCGTGTATTTCACAATAATCCTGTCGACAACAAGACAGATAGTACTTGCAGGATCACACCAACAACTCAAATCGCACTAAGTTTTTCGAGCTGATATCCTGCTCCTAACTCAAAATCATTAATTTTAATGTAGAATTTTATCGCAAGAGAGCACGTCTCAGGAAAAATCGGAGAGCAGACTGTAAAATAAAACTATTATATATCTATCTCAGGTTATGTGAACCGTATGTAAATTTTACTCCTTCTCTCAACCCACCCAAACACAGATGCAAACGCCCTTGCTCGACTTATCTCGCGTTTATGGCCACCTCCTTCCAGACATTCTTGTTTCCCTCTTTTCTATTTTATTCATTTGTTCCCCAGATCGAACTGGCTCTCAGGATCATAACTGGGCGAGAAAAACATTTTGGGAACGAGGAAGTTGAAGGGAGGTCAGGCTCTTAAGTGACTGACGTATTCTCACGTAAAAGATCGGTTGCCAACTTGGAAAGCAATCAAAATAATCCTTCTTGGGGGAAGAGAGAATCCGATGGCGGTAGCGGAAACACATTTATTTCTATTTCTGTACACTTGAATTGGATCCCATTAAGGCCCCCAAGCGTGCAGAAATTCTAAATAAACTGCTTCTCTCCCTGGAAGATTTTTTTCCCTTTCGCGTGGTCGTCCAGGGGTGAGCAAAAGGGTCTTCTGACTGCAGTTGTAGCTAGCGTGATGAAAGGAGCTTATCGCTCGTCGATCTGAAGACACACCGAACGTCTGCAGGGATCACTCAACTTCTTTATAAAATACAACACACACAGGCCATGGTGAATGGCAGCAAAGTTTAGAATAATAATGCTCTTTATAGACTTCTCCTGGAAATAGAGCTGGAGGACTGGGGTAAGGGTTTGGATGGGGAAAAGAAGGACATGAAGCTTTAAGTTATATAAGAAGCACACGTATTGGTCTCTTAATTTTGTGTCAATTTGTATCGATCGATTTTCGTAGACCTGTGCATAGTGCAATGATTTAGTTTTGTGATTGCTAAACCATGTTCATCCCCTTCAACCGCTTATGAGACAAATAACTTATGGTTGTCTTCACGAATTATTATTGTGTGTTTAAATTAAACAATTGTGATATTTGACGCGTGAGTGGTCTCAAGGTGTAACTAAGGTGAAAGTAAACTTCGAACCCCCTCCTAATTTGCAGGTCTGGGGTCACCGTGTGTGTTTGGGTGTGCGTATGTGCGTATGTGCGCGTGCGTATGTGTGTATATGTATATGTGTGCGTGTGTGCGTGTGTGCGTGTGTATGTATGTGTATGTGTGTGTGTGTGTGTGGAGGAGGGAGGGGTAGGGGAGGGGTTGGTGTTATGACTTACAGGAACGAAAGAATCGGCTGGGCTCACCAATATCTGAAAAAATAAAGATAGAAATGATAGATACTTTATAGAAACAGGAATGTTCTGTTGTTACTACCTGTCTGTATATTATTATTATTCCCCAGACATTACTGGCTTACTGACTGTTAGTGTTACTAGGTCGATGTGTTTCTCTTTAAGTCATAGAGCACGCAGCCTGTAACAAATTTCCGGTACCTGAAAGTTATGGTGTGTGCCCTAAGCCGACTGTGTAAAGGGAAATCTGTGGCTAAAACGTTACTTGCCAGAAGATACGGTATTCAAATCACCGCGGAAACATTTATTTTGTTTTGATTCTTCTTCGGCAAAGTCTAGTCTATTTTGTTTTGTATTTGTGTTATGAAATTGTGTATGTGTATGTATGTGTCTGTTTGTGT